ATGACAACCTGCCTCTAAACAAATGGACTTCAGAAAATGAAGAATTAAAAATAAGTAGCGAGTGCAACACCGAGAAGATGCAGCCATTCCCGGAAGAAAACGGCCTACACGGTACTAATAATTGTAGTCGAGGCACACACGAGTCTCCACAGAACATCAGCAACGTTCAGAGTGACGGTATAGATGTCACAGAAGGAAGTGATCGTCAGCGAAAAAGTTGTGTAAATACGGAAGCTGACAAAATGTCGGTAACGAACTTTTCAGAAAATAGTGGAACTGTTTCTGAACAAAGTGATTGCCAGTTTCTAGATCACCAAGTAAAAGAGAATGAACTTAGTGGTATCGATACTGAAGAGAGAAAATATTTGCACAATCGTAGTTTGGTTCCCCTAAAAAGGTGCCGGAAGGATTCACATGTGTTCGCATCAGTCAATATGAATCCTTGTCCCCGGCAGCGGACGAGACGAATCGGCATTAATCTCTTCTTTCCCCTCTCTATTCGAAGTTTACCTTCACATCACAGACATCTGGCTTCTAGAGGTTCCACTTTAATGCTCTTAAGCCCCACTTCTAATTCATATCATCAGTTATCTACCCAAATGATGTCCCAACGTTTGAGATCAATTGAGTATTATTACGATTACATCGATGAGAGTTATCATAAGAATGGTAAGTGATAAGTCTTGCTTTATAATCATACGAGTCCTTCATCTAGCTTACTGTTCTCGTTTAATACATAAACCAACATTAAAACACCGCCCGTTTAAAGCAGTAAACTAAGTCACTGTATTATCATTATATACATATATTTGTCTACATGTTGGTAGCTCTTTCTTCATTTTTTCAGACTAACAGATAATATAAAGACAATCAGACTGTAACTGTACACCGGATTAAGATCTTGTTACAAAGCAATATAATAGTGCGCGAGTACACTCTATGTGTTTTATGATTATACATCTCGTATAACATTATTCTAATACCAGGAATTCTGAGAAAGTTCCGCCAGTGCCATCTCTTGACATATATAGTACCATATATAAAGTCCTTTGACCTTCTCGGTCATCGGGTAACAGGCTAACAAAACAAGCATAAGAACAATATCAGTTCTGTCACCTTGTTTATCAATCAGTCTGTTTATATAGGTAACGGTGTTATTGATAACCTACTACCCATAAATTATTCTGGACTATATATTTTCATTAAAACATCACACACGCACACTCTCACTCGTATATTTATGTTTAGTTATATTACCCATTTTAATTAAACAAGTATTGATACTTTTAAGCTACGTTATCGGTGTGGACGTTTCAGTTCTAAAGAAAGTTTTTTGAGAAGTGTAAACAACCACGATATCAATGTATTGTCCTAAATTTTTAGTACAATGTTAAGGGTATCTTGAAACTCGTAAAGCTCACATTATTTCTGTCATTCTTCTTTAGGCGAAAAAGTTTCTCAAACCACTATCAAGCTTCACCAAAATAGTTTACCACCATCTGTAATACCTCCCTTGACCTCTGACCTTTACAGATACAGGTTTCATTCTGACACACTTGCCCTGGAACAGCAGAAATACAGTGAAGTAGGAAAACTTCTACGAACCTTAAGCATGGATTTCGAAAAAAGGTTTAGGTGAGTTACAGGATATAGCTTTAAAATAACAGTTAGAAATAATCGTTTGTTCTTATGATGTTTGTTTGGATTGCTTCAAGCTAATCTTGATAAAAATAAACGTTTCATTACGTGTACACTGGTTCGTTAAGAAGTGAGAGAGTAGAGGGAAGGCAACTTGTCAACAGAATCCACTGTCAGTTCTTGGGCTGCTCTTTAACAACGAAAAATGGAATTGATCGTCACATTATAGTAAACACCATGGTTGAAAGGGCAAGCATGTTCGGTGGCGGGATTCGAACCTGCAGATTGCGAGTTGAGCGTCCCAACCACCAGACCATGCCAGGCCGTGTATGTTTGTAAACATAATGTAGATATAGTATATAGTGTTGTTTTATATAATCATGTGTTAATTACAAACGGAATTGTGTTGTGTTTCTCTTCTTAAACTTAACTACAGTTAAAATTAACACAACTGTTTGGCTATATATATATATATATATATATATATTAGTATGTTTAACTGCCAACATTTTAATTTCAATAAATATTATCCAATGATTTAGAAATGTGTGCGCAGTTAGCATTATATTATACAAGGTCTTCTTGCCAACTAGTTTGATAAGTCTTATCTCACGATGAATTTATATAGAGGTGACGAATACGAACAGTCGATCGTGCCATCAACTGTGGCGTAAAGTATTATTAGTGCCTCGTGTACGATAGGTGCGCTTATCTAAATAGTCACCAGAGTTTTCAAATTTCAGCGTGAAATTGTGAAACACGCTAATCAAACAGCAATACAAAACTCGTGCGTGTTTATGCGGTGAGAAATGATAAAGAAGCTAAATTAGATTTTGTGTTGTACGTTATGAGATTAACGTTCTATTTCATGACTAGTAGTGCCCGATTACTTATTCACCATGTATTGGAAGAAATAGTCAGATTTTTTTCGCGTAAATAGTGTTTTTAATGGGTTTCGTTTTCTTGCTGCTAGATGACGTAATATACTGCACGTGTTCAAGTAAGATTGGTTTGAATTTCGCGCAAAGCTACACGAAGGCTATCTGTGCTAGCTTTCCCTAATTTAGCAGTGATAGACTAGAGGGAAGGCAGCTAGTCAACGCCATCCGCCGACTCTTGGGCTACAGTTCTACCAGTGAATAGTGGGATTAACCGTCACATTATAACGCACCCTCGGCTGAAAGGGCGAGCCTGTTCGGCGATGGGGAGTTCAGGGAAGAAGCAATAATGATTAAATTAATTATTGCTTTTAAAGTATTGATAAAACTTATTCACAGCAAGAGTTGTTGGTAACATTTTCATCCATTTTATTTGTTTTCTTGAAAATTGTAGAGAAAACTGTAGGCTAGGCTTCATAATTACAGAAAAAGATAATAGTGAATAATTGAGGGAAAAGGTTACACTGATATATAATTAGATGAATTTTACTTATCGTTAGTAAAACCATTCAAGACTGTTTATTTCCTTTAAGCAATTAACATACACTCGTATATAATTATGAATTTATTGGTATTTAAAAAGCCGAGTATCGTTATTTAAAATCGACTATATACAAGAATTTATACTTCTGTTAGATTTTTATGAATTTCTCAATACGAAAAATACTGCCACCAGGGTTAGAATACTTTCCTCAATATTGTAACAGTATAGTCTGTTTGTTTTATGAATTCATCAATAATTATTGCACTTCTTTAAATTACCTTAATATGATTTCACTATAAAATAGGAAATTAATATTGAAATGCATAAATATAGATGTACTATACAATTTGGTACATCGCTTCTTGACCATTAATAAATAAAGATTTTGTGATAGATTATTTGAATGAACTGTTTTTAGAAATGTTTGAATTTTCCAGTTTTTTCCAATATAAGCAGATACCAGATGTTCTCTAGCAGTTCCTACCATCGAAATAAATACGTTAAAAGTTTGTGACTTGTTTGTTTATTTTACAGGGGATCATTTTGTTTATTTTTTACAGCCCAAAGGTATCGTAAGGAAAATAAGAAAATGAAAAGATTTCAAACTATCAACTATCAAACTGTCAACTAGTTTAGACCTCCAGGACAGCAAAGAATTTTGTAAATAATTACGTGTTTCAAACTATCTACTGTCAACTAGTTTGGACCTCCAGGACAGCAAAGAATTTTGTAAATAATTACGTGTTTCAAACTATCTACTGTCAACTAGTTTGGACCTCCAGGACAGCAAAGTAATTTTGTAAATAATTACGTGTTTCAAACTATCTACTGTCAACTAGTTTGGACCTCCAGGACAGCAAATGATTTTGTAAATAATTACGTGTTTCAAACTATCTACTGTCAACTAGTTTGGACCTCCAGGACAGCAAATAATTTTGTAAATAATTACGTGTTTCAAACTGATAATTGGAAACTCTTCCCACTTTTACCAAAAGGTCAAGTAATGAACGATAGATCTTGAAGGATCTCTGTGTAATATTTGTAGACTTAAACTATCTGGTAGAAGTGAAAACCTACCTGTTATAACTGAATGTTGATGATTTATTTTAAAACAAGAACCAAAAACATCGTTCTCGCGAAACAACTTTGAATTTGTTTACTAAAACTTTATCTACTTGCCATTATACATTTTGTAAATGTGTCATTGTGGTATATTTGATATTGAATATTTCAGTGGCGATACTGATACATATATGTCGAAAAAACGCTACATATAGCGTATAATAGAGATTAAACACTACTTTCATGACCGGTAAAATATGAACAAAAAACTTAATAGAACCATTTATAAAATCGAAAAAAGGTCGCTTCAGGTCTAATATTATTAACGGTCGGAAACTTTGTTCGTGAGTTAAGTATTTGAGGATATTATACTCCTGTCTATTTTTTGTAGCAGACTGAAAAAAAACACGCAAAAAAGTTTTTTAAAGAAGTGTTTTTATGATTTATATTTATATAGATATTTTTGTCTTCATATATAAGAGTCTACTTCAGATTTAATCAAAAGTTCAGAAGAGCTTTCTGTACGACAATGACAGTGGTGATTGTAAAAATGTACAGAAAACGTCTATTCATACTTATACACGATACTATAGTTGGGGGACTCCGAAGTAACGCTATAATAAGTGTGTTGTTAGTATTTTGGTTAGTTGGTGAAAATTACTATCATTCAACGAATAAGTTTGTTTGTAGTTAAGCTATATGTGCTCTGCCCACCACGGGTATCGAAACTCGGTATCTAGCGTTGTAGGTCCGCAGACATACCGCTGTGCCACTGGGTAAATATAATAAATCTAAATCTAAATAAAAGTAGAATAAAGTCGTTTTGTATAAAAACCAATTTGTGGAATAATACTATTTCAAGCTATTATGACTGATTTTTTTTTAAATGACTAAACCACAGGTGTATTCACATCATGAAAGTCGTTTGGCCGAAATATTGACCTTAACTATTTGTCCCTTTCCGATTTCCTGATTTAACCATTTCTTTGTAGTTTCTTACTCTTATCAGCGACATATCAGGCAAGTTATCTTGCGATCTAGTGAACAAACTCAACTGAAAGTTTTGTTTGTAACAATAATAATTAGAGAAGTGAATAAATAAACAAAGACAATTGTACGTTTCACATATACTTCATTTATTCACGACCATGGTTCCGCCAGTAAAGGCATCATCGGGTACTGACTGGAATGGTTTGTAAACAGGTTTATATATATGTTTAAACAAAGAACCGGAAGTAACCTCGACATTCACCTTGAAACAATTGGTTTGAGAAGTATTTTTACACTTTTATTTATTTCTAAAATTTCCAGGCTATCTAGTTTTTAAAATTTTTTTTTACAAATATGTAAAATTTAGCATTTTTTTCACGGCGAAATTGGTGTTTAGTTTCAGTAAGATGGGATGCAAAGGTTGAATCCATATTGATTAATTTCCAGGTTCTAGAATGTTCTTTAATTCTTGTTTGTATGTGACGTCCCGTTTGACCTAGGTATACACTATTGCAGGCTAGCGAAACCGTGGTTGTTTATAAATGATGTATTTGTGAAACGTTCACTTGTCTTGGTTTATTCCTCAATTCTGTAATTATAGAGTTTCACCAAGTACCGACGGTTTAAAGAAGCAATAATAATTAGTAATCAATAATCAATTTTGACCCGTTTAGGACATTCAACATAGTTCATGGTGTTTACATACACATTTTGGTTGAGATTGGCCCAATAGGCTCGGAGGAGTTAGGGTGCGAACAAACACATATTTGTTTTTATACGTCTGGATACGTCTTATTTTCTTCTTACTTAAAAAAATATCCCCTTTATATTTTTCAATATGTTTGCTAAAGAAGCAAAACTTGTATACACATACATGAAAAAAAAACACGATTACAAGAAAATATACGTTTGAACAATACTACTTTATATACTTGAAACTTAGAGAACACGTGAAACCTTTACAAATCACTCGCTTATCTCGTATGTGAGAGTTCCTACTGTGTGAGTTGCATAACACAAGTGATCGTAAAATATATAAAAACGACTAAATATTATTGAAGTACACATGGGTTTTTAAATACCGAAATACGGAGATAGCTATTATTTTTGTTAAGACTGCGTTTAATGTACCGAAAACCCTAAACGAGATTTTCCAAACATTAGAGAAAGATGTGTCCAGCTATGAAATCAAAACATCTTGTTGAGTTTGTCACTGGCATGTCAAAACATCTTAATTTTCGAATGTTCGTCAATAAAAAACCCTAACGGACAAAAAGAAATGAGTTTAAGACAACTCACATACGTAAACAGAGATCTTGGTACATAACTGAAGTGCTAACAAGACCTGCACCATAAACAATTTATTCATTTATATATATATATGGATCGCTAATCCAGCATTTTCGGGACAAATGAATTTATAAATCGCTTAGGTATTACTGGTGTGTAATACAATAATAATAATAATTTATTATTATTATTTGTTACTTACCTATTCTTCTTCTAACTTACACAATGAGTTAATTGATCAATCCTATTTAGATCTTTGGGATATGAGATCCACAAAAGGGTAGCTATGTCTAGCATACACAAACTATAACATCAGAAATAAGTACCAGTATTTATGTTTGCATATAGACGTTGTATTATATCGTCAATATGCCTGTAGGAGGCGCCATTGACATTTCTTTGGAGTATATGAAGAGCAGTTTTTTACCATGATGAATAGCTGCCCAAACATGTACTTCACCACCTCCTGTGTGTTCCCTATGGAAAAGACAACCTTCCCTCATCTGTTCTCTAGGCAAATGATGAACACAAATCTTACCATCAGCTTTAACAACTTCTTTCGATCTTGACTGATCAAATCTCTGGTAGTAGGTTTTCAGCATCTACCAGTAGACTTTCCTGGGACAACATTTCCTGCAGTCTGATGACTTTTCAGGATTCTGGATACAGTACACCAGGGGTATACTCTACTGTTCTGGCAATGTCAGTTTTCTTCATACCATTTCTGGGCAGTCGAACAATTTGACGCCCTATAACCTCTGGCAACTAACGAGGCATGAATCTACACCAAGTACATAGAAACTGTCTGAACAAAGCGTTAATCTGTTTCGAAAAATATTATACCAAAATCACACCTTTTGATACAGAACAGGTGTATATGTGTGTTTTGACGAACAAATGCTCAAAAAAACGTATACAGACCAGAATAACAACTCATACATATTTGTCCGGTCATACGCTACCTTCTCTGTTACTACTTGGGCATTTACTCAATAACTACTCCAAGCATGTAGACAATAACATCAATACAGAACAGTATTCAAACATTTTGGCCAAAACTGTTTCTTATGCTACTAGTTATAATTTTAAACATAAGAATAATAATTTACAAGTGATCACTTTCTTGTCCAGTGGCTATTTAATTGCCAGTTGCTTTCTCGTTTGATAACTCCGATCGGCCGTTGACCATTGGTGGTTTTAGCCAATGGATTTAACTCGCTACAACTGTGGTGTATACTGAGAGTTGCAATCCTGAATTTTGTTTATGAATTTTGGGATTTGAGTGACTCAAGTTAGTGGATCCGGCCCGGACTCTAAACATTAATTCACGTTTTATTTCGTCTTCATCAAAACGAATTAAACTACATGCACTTCTTATGTTATTTAAATGATTGAAAATAATGCGAACACGGTAAATTGGCAAAAATGTAAGCATTTGCTATTAAAACTTTTGTCTTACTTTATGAATGCTTAAATCGAATCTCTTTTATGTGTTTGTCTGACTTTGAAAATGATTATCCAGTATCCAGGTTGTAAGCTATTAAACGTACAAGCAACTTTCTATTAGTGTTGAATAAAGTTTAATCAAGCAATCGCATTGGTTGAAAAACCTATATAAATTCGGGCGGAGCAGCAAAAATGGCATAAAACGAAAGCAATTTTTATGCAATTTGCATCAAACATAACGTAAAGAACACATTCAGTGAATTAATTTGTAGAATTGTCTGAACTTAAAAGCACAAACTGTGTCTCATAACAAAAATGTGGAAATTCCATACCCTCCCCCAGAAAAAAGACAAAAATACTGAATCAAATCATACGATTTTTAAAAAGCCAAACCAGATACTATTTAAGAAATATGTTCGAAGTTTCATGTAATTTAGTTAAGTAACGTCACTGTGAGTTCTCCGTCACCAAACATCCTCGTCTTTTCCATCGTGGGGCATTATAGTGAGATGGTTAATCCCATTATTCGTTAATAAAGGAGTAGCTCAAGAGTTTACGATTGATGGTGTTGGCTATCTGCCTTCTCTCTAGACTATCACTGCTAAATTAGAAATGGCTAGTGCAGATAGTCCTCGCGTAGCTATACGCGAAATTCAAAACAAAACAAACCACTGTGAGAAAAAAAAATCAGAAATATCAATGACAACCCTTCAAATTTCTTGGCATTTGGGAAGCCCATTAGCATACAGTATACGTTTCAAGAAGACATAGAGTGTATAATAGCAGTTCAGCCATACCATATCCGTCATATCTATTACTGACGACGTGTTGAAAATATAATAGGGTTAGTACAAATGTCTTTTGACAAGTATAATTAATTATTATAATGCTTTGCCAACTTAGAAAAGCCGTTAAAACCATAGCAATTGTAGTAACAAATGACTTTTTTAATTAAATAGTGTTCATACCATTACTGTGTGTTGTTACGTATTAGAATTTCAAATAGTCTGGAACCGAGTTAACAGATAGTTGTGTGTATCAATCTTGTTGGCAAATATCATAAACTGACTATATATATCAGCATATATTTAAATACTAAATCCAAAGTATAATTTAACCACTAAATTTAAATTTTATTTTTTAACACAAATACGTTTGAATATACACACAACAATACAATTTACAATTACACTTATTACAAACAATGATTTATAAACAAAAGTTTCACAAATTTACAAGCAATATAAAGTCTTCTTTCTAGTTTGAAATTTCCTTGATATCTTATCGAGGGTTCACGATGAGCGAGTTAATTAGGATTCGCTTAACTGGAAGCTAGCTAGCTTTGTCCTTCGTTATTTACCGGCCACACACGTCGAGTTTTCCACAATGAATTTATATAATGTTTTCGTAAAAATACTAATATCCGAGGAGCATCCACTGAAGTTAAATGATTTGTAATGTTCGAACTTTGTAAAGGTTCCTGGACAAATATCTGAAGTTTTGAGATTGATAAGCGTTATAATAATCACAGTTAGAATTTCCAAAGTTTATAGCACACTGACTAATAGTAGACATTGTATTTTTTTTTGGCGCGTCGCGTTGGTTATATTTATAGACGTGTAGAGCCGTTCTAGAAATTTCAGTTTTATGTAGCAACACTGACGCTAACACAAGTGTTTACGTACACACATATATTGTTGATTCTTACTCTCGAAAATCTTTTACAACTTTGTAAAATAGACAGGGGTTTCACAATACATATCTAACACTATAAGCTACGCATATTTCTAAATACAAATTTAATCTAAACAAACGTTGTTATTAGAATAAATATAAAATAACAAATTCGTTACAGTGTGTTGTATCCCAGCCGGCTTGATGAGCTCTGTATTGAGCGAAACTCATCGTCGGAACTATATATGACGGACATAGTGTGGTTGAAATAATACTCTTCTTCTTCTTCTTGAAGAAACCCTAAAGGACTGAGTAAAGAATGTAGTGTTAAAACTATAATAGGACTAATATTAATGTCTTATGACATACATTTAACAAGTGTAAAAAAAATTAGGAAGTAGGAATAGGAGTATCAAAAAGTAAAGAAACAAGGTAGATAACATTACAACACTTGGTGGTTTTTGATGCTTTTTGTAACTTGGTAACTGTTCGAATTAAATGAAAGGTGTACATAGCTAAATTTCTCTATTGTAAACTTTCTTTCAACAACCAAGTACAGATACACGTATGTAATCAAGTTACGTGAACCTAACGTAATGCATGGTATCATAAAGAGGGAGTTTGATGTCGAAAGTCAGACAGAAAGCTCCAATAGTCATACTTTGCTTATGGGAGACATTATAGCTATCTGACTGGTAAGGGGTGGGCCAAAAAATAGTATCAAAACCGCCGATTTTTGAAAATTTTAAATTTGTTGAGTATTTAGAAAGTATTAGCTACTGATACAAATCAATTCAAGTCTATAATTAGATCAAAGTTCAACGTAAAACACGAAGTAGGAATGGGCGAAACAATGGCCA